TGAACTTTCCTTTACAATTAGAAATCAAGTTTTAAAAAGCCTGTAAGTATGGACAAATTATCTGTATATGATTTTGGAGAGAATTCTGAATTTTGCACATTGTATCAATGTGCAAAATTCACATTCTGAATGCAGGAGTGGAACCATCAATATTCAACTGGACCTCAGTTACACCTTTGCCACGGAACCCTCCAAAGGATAGAAGCAGTTCTTCAAAAAAAGCCTGTACAGCAACCACTACAGGTGTAGGACAGACAGTGGTCGTGTCACACATTAAAACAGTTGAAGAGTTAGGGTCCACATGTCCTCTGGGAGAAGTTGAGGTATAAATATAACTTGCATGCTCAGCTATGACCTTGTCCCTACTGGTATTACATCTCTAGAGTCTGGGTCAAGTAGTACCTCCTTAAGGGGACAATACCATTGGGCATGGAAACAGTAAAGAAGAATCCTAAACAATGCCCCATCCCTGATAATAACAAAGACTATTGTCGAGGAGAAAAAATAGAAAAAGAGGTTTATTATGAGGTGCTACATTACCCCAGAGTCTTAGGTCAGATTCTCCTTGAAGCCCCATGAGATTTCAATTTTTTTTTGAGTGGCAGGGGCTTCCCCCTCGCTGACATATTTCTCGTGCTGCTTAAACATAAAATTTGTACTTTTAGGCCTTTACTGTGTATTTTTCTTTCCCTAACGAATGTCTTATTTTATTTACATTTAGTTTACATGTTCCAACAGTAGTGCCGAGAAAGGTGAAGTAGGAGCTAGGTGTTCTTTGGGAGATGTTTGCGAAACACACTGAAGATAAGTTCACCCAGACATGCTTCCTGCTTACGTCTGAAGTTGACTCAATATATATGGACCATACGTATGCATTTAGCTTTTGAAACATCATTGACATAAAAGAATCAAGGCAGTCTATACAGGAGCAGCTTGAAGTAAAGGAGGAAATAATGATAAACCTTAAGAAAAAAGTTGGGCAGCTGCAAAAAGAAATTGATGAATATAAACAACAAGAATTCACTCTTGAAAAGTTTAAGAATGAGGACTCTGCGATTAAATTTTACACAGGCTTTCTCAATTACAAAGCGCTAGTAGCATTCCATAATTACCTCAAACCAAAAGTAGCCAAACTACAATACTAGGGTCTAAAAAATGTACCTGACTCCAGACAATATCAGGAAGAAGGGAAAAATAAGCCAGGCTGCAAAGGCAATTAAGTTCTTTAACTGAACTGTTTATTGTCCTTGCTAGGTTAAAGGTTGGTCTTTTTGTTAGAGATATAGCTGACAGATTCGGTATTTCTGTCGCAAACTTTACTAAGATATTCTGTACATGGATTAATTTCTTGTATCTAGAGTTGCCCTAAGTATTCCCTTTCCCTTCTCAGGAATCAGTGTGGAGAAACATGCCACAACAATTTGCCCTGTACCCTACTATTCGAGTGATTATTGACTGCACATAGGTTCCTATTTAGAAGTGATCCCATTACCTGTTCAATTGTAAATGTAAATCCCACACAAACTTGATAAAGTTTCTCGTTCATGTAGTTGATAGCAAATTGATCAAAGCATTTCCTGAGTCGGATGAGTCAAAAAACACATTTTGCCTGATAAGAACGCAGTAGACCTGATAGCCCTACAGTTTGTGTGCTGAATTCAACGGGAAAGGTTTTTGTTCGAGACCTGTCTGGATCATTGTGTGGTGTTCCTGGGCAAAAAGCTTTTATATCACTGGGCCTCTCTTCACCCAATGTAACAGTATAGATGGCTACTGGCGAATTGCTTAACAAACATGATGAAATTCTGGGGGATAGCCTTGTGAAGGACTAGCATCCCACCCAGGGGGGGAGGGGGGAGTAGTAATACTCCTATTCCGTTCATGCTAAGTAAACCGAGATAAGTTCTGGCTGGGTGTGCCACTTAACCCAACTAGAGACCTTACCTACTTTTTGCTCTAAAGGTACGGACACAAAAGTCACTTAATAGCGCAATATTAGGGAAGAAGAAGTATACTCACTTTGAACGATTCAAATCCATAAATGCCCAGTATTCCGATGGATAAATAGTCCTTATATTTCTTTAGAGCACCACTGATAACCTGTTCTCGAAGTCAATGTCATTTATCTAGTAAGACGTTTGAAAAAAAAATGGTAAGGAAGTATGAACGGACAGATGGACGGATAGAATGAATAGCTAGAATCCATAAATTTTACAAACCTGGACAAGGTAATCAAACAAATGTGAGTATAAGGCTTTAGACAGAGTATCACGGGCCGCCACCGCTTGTAAATGTACAAAGATATAAACTATATGACAACCAGAACAAGACAGAAAAAAAATAATGGGATAAGATCATTCCCACCCGACATTTGTTGTTGGTTTCCTTTGTTATTTCAACCCTTCCGCCTCGGCGAGTTTTGATGAAGACACTGTTTTAAACACAAAAAAAAATTCTTTAAAGAATCGCTGAGGGTCATTTCAACCACAGGTGCTTACCGCATGACACAACATGGCTAAACCCTTTTTTCACTACGTCTGTTATTTTCTTACCCGTCTAATTTCTCCTCCAGATTTTCTCTATTAATTCCAAGCAATTTAGAGAGGCAATCCAGCACTGATGAAGTAGAAGCAAATCTTATCAAAGTCTAGTAAACTGTAACAAAGTTAAATCAACAGAACTGAAGAAATGAAATTTATGTCGTTATAAATTCTTGAGCGAACGATGCAACAGAAATTCAAAGCATTTCTTTCGATTTGCATTTAAGGTAGCCCGTTAGAGAAAATGACTGACAGAGATATGTGAAAGCGATTTTGTAGTTTTATTGTGCTAGTTTACACTTTACTTTGAGTATTACGATCTGAAAGACGTTTGTGCAAGACAGAGGGATTAGTTTATTATCTGTAATAAGGTAGCTAAGGAAGATAAAAGGGAAAACTAAGAAACGATGACCTTGTGACCTTGAAGAAGCTTTGAAATCATGGTCAAAAGTGGTGTTTAATAAAACAAAAGTTTCAGGGGGGGATGAAAACAAAAATGCTTACACTTCTGTTCAGTTGGACAGGCCACATTTTCAGTTTCTTTGAACTCGATGTTGCCAAGAGTTAAAATGGCGGACAGCGCCTTGAAAATTATCTGTTACTTCGCGGTGTCTACGCCGACCATTTCCAGTGCAGTCTGAAGAAAGGCAACGAGCCACGTTTACAGTATCACATTCTACTATTATATAAAAAGAAATTCGTACTTTAATCGCTCTATAGCTTATCGTTGATAGTATTATTTTTTTTCTATGTCGGTTTACGCGTAAGCTTTATCTTAACCTGTCCACACAACATAAAAAACATTTGAGAAAAAATACCCATGGAATTCCAAACTTTCTAACAGCAGTTGAACTATCTTCCAACTTCATTGTGCAGAACTTTCTTCCTATACGCACCCTCATTTCCAAAAAGTCTCTCTTGTCATCTTTACTGTCAATCGTGTACACATCACTTTGATTTAAATAGAAATAGTCCTCAGCGTTTCCTTGAAGACCAAACTGACCTGAAAAAACAAAGATTGTACACTTTCTTTACTTCCCTCTGTGATTGGTCGGAAAAACTCGCACCACTCTCTCAACCAATCAGGTAAAAAACTGAAAACAATCATGACTTAGTCGCCCGCGCTTTCCCGCGCTTTAGGCCGTTGGTTGTTTCTATTTTGAGTTCTCATTGGCTCTTCAAGGTATTTCCTATTCTTCTAATTGGCCGTTGTGGTTACGTTTTGTTTTCATGATACTCGATCAAAAAGTGCTCGAGCTATTTTCTCACCCTTAGAGAAATGCTTCGATGTAAAACAACATTTATAATGTCTCTGAAATCAAAAACTTGTTACCTTTTTCCTGATTTGTGCACCCAGACAGTATCTGGTAAAACACGTGAAAGTTACGTTCGCTTTGTGTCAAGTGAGTTACACGACACTGCAAATGTAAAAATAATTGTAATACAACGAAAAAATGTCGGATAACTTTTAAGAGTAACCCACACATAATGGTAAACAGAACTAGTGACTATACAACAGCTGACCTTTTCTAGCACAAAGTTGTAGATTTTTCCACCGTTTGGTTGCCCTTTCTGGTTGAACTGTATCTCAAGGTATTTTCCCTGTCGATTTATTAAGAAAACCACGTAATTAATTTTCTGCGTCATTGCAGTCTGTCTTTTTTCTTTGGGGTACAAAGTTAACTTACAAATCTACTTGAGTTGTTGTTCCTGACTGTTTTTGCATTCCCGAACGCTTCCAGTACAACGTTAGACTGAGTTATAATATCCTTAATTTGCTGTAAAGAAAGCAGATAAAAAAAGGTTCTTTAGTATCTGTGGTTACTTAAGAGAAAAAAAAAATCAACAGTGACAGAACTAAAGGCATATTTACCTTTATTCTTTCGGATCCTCGGCCAGAAACTTCATTGATACAATTTATCACGTGCCGTGCAGNTTATTGCTAAGTTTGTATAGTATTAAATATATTAACCAGTAGTTTCACTAGCAACCTTTGTGGCTTCCCTTGGTGTTGATGTATGGGATCCCATGAAAATGGGTTCCCACTCCACTGATGAGCAAACTCGTGATCAGTGGGTAAAAAAGGAACAAAGCGTATGCAAGGGTGGGAATGAGTGTGTAAAATGAACATAAAAGTTAGGTGTTAAAATTGAGGGAGCGACTTCTGTAACAACAGCACGCTCCTAAACTCAATTTAAAATTGTAAAAAATATATGTTATATATTATTAAAATAAAAAAATAAATAAGTAAATAAAATCAAAATAAAATAAAATAAAATGAAGTTAAAATATTATCTAAGAGCAACTATTAGAAAAAGGGGGCGAAGCATTAAGGGTTTAGGGTTAAATTGCTAATTTTATATTAGAGTTTTGATTATAGTTAGGGTTAGAGTAATCAATTTTCTACGTCATTGCAGTCTGTCTTTTTTCTTTGGGGTACAAAGTTAACTTACAAATCTACTTGAGTTGTTGTTCCTGACTGTTTTTGCATTCCCGAACGCTTCCAGTACAACGTTAGACTGAGTTATAATATCCTTAATTTGCTGTAAAGAAAGCAGATAAAAAAAGGTTCTTTAGTATCTGTGGTTACTTAAGAGAAAAAAAAAATCAACAGTGACAGAACTAAAGGCATATTTACCTTTATTCTTTCGGATCCTCGGCCAGAAACTTCATTGATACAATTTATCACGTGCCGTGCAGATGTAGTCTTACCAGCTCCACTTTCACCGCTGCAGTTCAAGAAGTAAAAAAATCCCGAGGTACTTAACTAACGGTGAATTGGAAACGAAGTGACAAGAGAATAAGCTGCTTCTTCCTAAGCGATAAAAAAATCATAAAGGTGGACAATAATAATGAAAACTGGTCGGTGACGTCATGAATGCAGTAAACAGAAGTAGTGTTTGTTCTGATGGTCAAACACAAAAACGTATCGCATGAAAATAGATATTAGCTTACTGTGGTTCGCTGGCCCAAACTATATTATCTGGTTCAACGTTACAGCTAGATTAACACGTGTCATGATCAGGACAGTCCATATTCCTTTATTATCAACTGTAAGCTCCCTGCAAGCCTGGTGGTTTCTTAGAGGTCTCTTCGCACTTCAACACGGTTGAATTTAGGAAAACTACTTCTGAAGCAGCACTTTATATCGTTCTGCCTTGTTCATGAGAGATCTAGACGTGGTACAACCCCTAAAGGTCTGTGCTTCGTCTCCTAATCAGGAACACACTATTTTTTTGGCCCACTCTCCTAACAAACGAATTCTCCTGGAATACTCACTGAAAGCAAGTTTTTTGTTAATCAATCCACACACCTTATTATGACGCATTGGTTTTCTTTCTCTATCATCATATTGTGATTCATATCAGTTGTAAGTGCATAAATATGAGGAGGTTTAGGTCCCTGTAAACAAAAACAAACCACAACAATTAGCTGTCTCTCCTGTTCAGTCTACAATAAACGATAATGATAACGATAATGATGACTAAAGGCTGATAGTTTCTAAAGAAACTGTTTGGGGCTGCGTCGGTGAGGGTAACGAAATAATTTGAATATATCAACAAAGTTGAAATGGTAAATTGGCCACCGTTACAATTATAAAAGCTGACGTTTCGAGCGTGAGCCCTTCGT